AAGTAATTTGATTATCTTTTGCAAGATAAAGAATTACCTCTCTTTCATGGCAACGAATATCAGCACGATAATTCGTTAACCAATCCATTCCAAGTATGAGATCGAAATCCTTCATTTCGATAACATAGGCCTCTAATGCCAAAATTTTTCCTCCAATATTAACACTAAGGTTCTCTACTATGTTAGACATATCCTCAAAATTTCATAATTTTATCATATATATTCATCAAGTTATGAGAATTTAAAGTCATAGTAAACATAAAGTTCATCTTGTATGTTCATCTTAAAAAATTCATAACTTAAGTTATACTATGCCAAATAACTTAATTCTTGTTCTCATGTATTCTTCTTTTACATAATAATTACTCATCTAAATCATACTTTTCCAGCATATTCATATCTTCATGAAAATCTCATGCAATTCAACATCTTATCACATCAAGTACATATATCATATAATTGATTTTTAACAACTTTAACTCTTTGTATCAATTATAAACTTCAACTTCTAAATCATGATATACATACTCATAAACATGTAAACTTATCATCAAAGCATGAACTTAAGTATAAAACTTTAAGATAAGTAAATTACCTCCTTCTTGGTAGAGTTAAAACTTGATTCTTTACTTCAAATTCTTCACTTCTCCAAAGTTCTACTACTTATCTCTCTTACACTCTTATATAACTTTTGGTACTTTACTTTGGTGTACAAACTCTGAATTTTAGGCCTCTATTTATAGGCATAAATTGGAGAAACGTCCAAATAGAGTGTTTAAATGATCATAATATAAAATTTAACTTATAAACTTAAATAATCTTTAAAATATATTATGATTAACTTATTCACTCATCCAAATCATATTTAAACCTCAAAAATGGCCTGTGGTTGGGATCACAATCGGATTCTCAATGATCAAACATGACTGTCGGCAACACGACTCGTGTGACATGTCACACGACTCGTGTGACCTCACACGACTCGTGTGGCTCCACACGACTCGTGTGGCTTGTCACACGACTTGTGTGGAAAAGCCGAGGCTAACTTTCATCATTTCTTCATCCCACACGACTCGTGTGCCTCTTCACACGACTCGTGTGGCTTGTTCCTTGAAAAACTCTTAATTTCGATCCGATAACTGACTATCTTGGACTCGAAATCACTTATTTCTTGGAACAATAACTGAAATAACATAATAACTGAGAGGGATATTACACTCTCTCGCTCCATCGCAGCAGAAAAAGACGAGAACCCATTATCGTCACTCACCATCATCGTCTCGCAGCACCATCATCCTCGCCATCCTCTGTCCCTGGAATATTTCCTGTAGCCATCATCGTTCTCGCGTCAACCAGCTTCCGGCGAATCCCCTGAACGTGAACCAGTCACGACGGCCATTCCATGTTCATGGCGAGCAGCATCTTGTCAGCCCCATCTCGACCTTCACCCGCCGGCGAGTAACCTGCGACTTCCGGCACCCCAGTCACGCCCCACTTCCCCGTGACGTCACGACCACATCCGACGGCCAGCATCTCGTCGACCCCGTTCGCGATCCCTTCCCGCAGGCCCAATTCCGGCAAGCTCAGCGGCCCGTCACCGAGCAGACGACCTCGCTCGACTAGCCCCACGCAGCAATCCGGTGATCCTCCTCCGTTCGCTGCGAGCTCCTTCCTGCGCGTGCAGCGGCTCGTTTTCCGGCGATTACCGAGTGCAGCAACCCAACGTCGTGACTGCTCCTCCCCGAGACGCCTCCTCCGGCGAACCTTGGGTGCACAACAGCTCTTACGTTCGAGCCCGGCAACTCCTCGTTTCGTTCGAACGTTTTGTTTTCTCGGGAACGGTATAAGGCTTGACCCGTCTCGTTTATTTTTACGTGACATTATGTACTCGAGTATGTGAATGTGTTCGTTTTACGTGATACCTCGAATCATATGTGCTGGTATATGATGATGTGTTATTGAATGAGAATTGTGATAATTGTGTTATATATTTACGAATTGGACATCAAAGTGATTGCTGTCACTTTGGAATATTGTCGAGTTGATTATGTTGTGGTATTTTTCGTGGAAATCCTAGAGTTATAAGTACTTGGAGTTGTCCTTGATCTGTTAGTTTTGATTTGAAGTCATTTCGAGTTGTATTTTGAGAGTTATGATTTTTCTAAACCGAGCATGCTGCTGAACCGTAATAAATTCACCATAAATCGAGTTGTTATCCGTTTGAGCTGAATTTTTGATATGTTGTGCTTCTAAGTATGTTCAATGTGTGTGCCAAGCCGCTGAATTTATTTCTTAGTTTTTTGACTTCAAATGCTTAAAACGGTTTCTGAGCAGAAACTTGTAAAATTAATTAAAAATCGTACACTTCGAGTTTTGAGCTGACACTTTCAGGAACCTAATATTTTATGATGTTTTAGGTTGTGTAAAAATTTCAGACTGAAACTCGAAGTGTAGCTATGCTAACTATTAAATGCTGATTTTGGTGCTGTTTTTGCTTAAATCATTTAAAAATGTTCCCAGATGAATTTGGGGCTGAAACTTGGTGAGTTTATGTGTTTTTGCATGTTTTATAATGTGGTAAAGTTTCAGGTTGATTGGCTGATCCTAACTCCTGATTCCGAATTTTGTTTATTTTGGTGTCTAAATGTTCGGTTATCGGTTGGTTAGGTTCGGATAGGATTTATTCAATGTCGGCATGTTTTATGTGAAATGTTTGAGGTATATGAGTTGTGTCCAGGTCTAGTAGTCACTCCATAGTACTTAACTCGGTCAAGGAATCCACGAGTCACTTAGTCAATATGATTTCGGCTAAGTATATGTGCCTTATGTGTTGTTTTGTTTTGGGCAGTCAGTGATAGGTCCTTATAAATTGTTGTAGGTCCTTCGAGCTGAACTTGTGCCATAATTCCTTCAACTCTATCTTTGGGTATACCTCTTGCAATATCCAGGTGGGTTTAATGTAAAACTGTCTATGCTGTAAATGTTATTACTGTTTTAAATTTTGGTATGATCAAGTATGCATGTGGAACATGTAGCCTTCGATGTGAGCTGTATCGGCTGTCGAACGGTTATTCCCGTATTTATGAAACGAAACCCGTGGGGTTCTTTACGCCTGTAAGACTAGGGCTGTGCTCGGTCGGTTCCCCGTTGTGTGACCAGGGCGGTGCTCGGCCGACGGGGGATACTCCTACTGGCCGGACACTCGTTGTAAGGCCTTAGATAAGGCGTTCGGTATATAGTTCGGCAGTAGTCTATTTCTATAGGTGTGCACACGAGTCTATTATTGATATTATTAATGGGAGATTGGGATAGATGATTGTTTCATATACGTGCAACGACCGTACATAACATATTATTGATTATTGATCATTGTTTCTTAATTATGGATAATATTTATTGCATAGTGGTGAGCACTACTTTTTCAGGTTAAGCGAGGCGGGTGCGACGGCGGAGTTAAGCGAGTGGTGGTCGATCTATGAGACTGGTCCTATTATTGTTTATGCGTCCGCATTTATGAATTTGGAATACTATTGTTTTTGTGAATTTTCGAATTTTATGATTGAAAAATGATAAGGAGATGCTCCTTAAGATTTATGAATACTGTTTGGAACCCGGTTTGGGTAATATTGAATATTGCATTATTGATTATTGCATTACTGATGACTGATGATTGATATTGATTATTGATTGGGTATTGAAAAAAAATTAGGATAAGTATTGAAGTTGTTTTGAAAGATGAGTAGCGCCTCAAGTATATTGAAATAAATTTGAAAAATTTATTCTGATTTTCGGCAAATAAAAGTGGGGCGTTACAATCTTGATAAGTCCAAAATTCAAGGAAAAATTCTCACTTAATCAAAACTATTGATTAAGGAGTTTGTGGAACTCTTGTGGAATTTGGAACTCTCAGGGATTGGAACAAGACTCGGAACAATGGTCACGAGGTTAAAATTAAGGTTCGGCTCGAAAATGGGTCGAGTGAACACATAACAACCACGCACCAAGTAAAACCACCAAAGCAATTTACCATAAACGAATGAGCATAAACGAAGCAAACAACTCTCTTTTAATAACCGAACTTTTCTCAACTCTCAACACAAATTTAAGCCTTACAACTGATTTGGAAAGCTCTGGAAAACACTCATTTTCCACATGAATAAACACATAATAAACTCAGCAATTAAGTGGCAAAACACATGGCCCAATGTGCCTCCTCTTCTTCTCTTTTTTTTCTCAAATTCAAGGACAAATGAAAAGGCCACAGAAAATAACTTAAACTCAACATGAATTACGCATAATAAAGTTCAGCTCAAACAAGGCAAAGGTACGACCAACTCGACAACAAGGTCAAGGCTTTAACATGCTCCCTTTTTATCTTAAATTTAACCAATCATGCAAATAATGCTAGGGATGCAAATTAACACTTCCAACACAACTTTCAGCACTACAATTTATCAACAATAAAGCATGAGAATTTGCGTTGTCTCAGCCGCCAATAACCATACATAAGCAAGGAAAAAATCGGTTTTAACAAGTCTATGCTTAAGCCCCTTTTTAACATCTTAATAAAGCTTACAAATCTGAACATAAGCACTTTAATAGCATATGATTTCAGCACCTAAACACCTGCCAGCAGCCTCAAATTAACACACAGAAACAAGGCACAAAGAGCATAAAATCCAACCACCTCTTTCTTTAAAAAACTTAACCAACTTAGACACAACATAAAGGCCTTATAGCTGATCCAACCCTGCCAAGAATTTTACAGCCACAAAGCAGCTATATAAACCGCATAATGACTGGTAAATAAAGGTGCCCATTATAAGCAAAATTTCTTCATACGCCAATAAATAAATATGTAGGCACATTACTCCTCAACACACCAACAAACTACACAAATATAACCATAGGCACATATTACTTAACAAACTAACCAACTGTATAGGACGACAATCAATATGAGAGTATCATCGTCCCATACTTGAACCAAATATAGTTTCATGAAAAATAACACAAGCACAAATAAGCCATCAAAAGCTCGGCCAAAAGAGGTACTAAGCTCAGCCGAAAATACCTCTCGTCGGAAACCAAAATGGGGGAAGAGGTTCGGGTCTCAGCTACGAGTTCTCGGCTCTCGTCTCTGCGAAAAATGGGATTGATTTGCTGCAGAACAGTGGAACAAGCCCGACCTCGGGTGATCTGAAACTGCTTCAGCCACGGGCCGCCTGGTCTCAGCTTCGCACAAGGTTAGCTTTTATCCGCGAACAGAGACTTCCTCTCGATCACCAGATGAGGCCCTCGGTGCTCTAGAGTTCGCTGCTGCTTGGGCCTGCTCCTGGCCTTGTGCTCGCCACCTCCTTGGTCTCGCCGAGAAGGCTGCTGCTCATCGGGAATCGGGTGGAAGGTACAATGTCTCGTCACCAGATTTTGCTGGTGGCCACGAACTGAGGCCCAGCAAGGCGTGGGACTCGTGGTTGTTCCCTCGCGGGTTGTCGCCTGTGGTGGCTCGACGCCGGCGATAGGGGCTGCGGGGTCTCAGCGTGATGCTCGGAAAACGCCGGACAGGGGGGTTGCTCGTTGTTCGTCACGGCTCCCTCTCGGCGTGGTGTGGACCGTGTGGTCGTTCACGGACGGATCTGTCCTTGCGCGCTCGGGCGCGAAGACTGTTCGGAGGTGAAGCGCGGTAGCTGACAGGGACCCCTTTGTTGCTGGTACGCCGGCGAGAAGGGAGGCTCGCGATGGCTTTGTCTTGCTGCTTCTTTCTCGGCGACTTCCGGCCAGGTGTTGTTCGCGGATCCTCGTGCGTGGTTCGCTGGGCACGCGGCGGCAATATGGAGGAGGACGGAGAGTGGTTCGGCCGAGAAAAGAGAGATGGATTTGGGGAGCTTTTGAGGATGTTTCTCCCGCT